GTTTTTGGAGTTGCACTTTACGCTAGGTGAACGTTATGATTTTTGGGGTGGGTATATTTCATGATAAATACTAAGCGTATGTCTGAGTGTGTGTGTCTTTGTATGTGAATGAATGTGAATGTACTAATATTTTCTTTTCGTATATACCAAATATAACTCTAAACCTGAATGGGGGGTTCTGTCTATGCAAGTTTCGACTACAATTTCTATTTGCTTTTCTTTTCGTTACTTCTTGGACTGCTCAGAAGAGAAGGAGTATGAATTAAGATTCGGCAGTTGATACAGAAATCTTTATATACACGTATATATAGCATATATGCATTGTTGGTTCAGTTCATTGCATTTTCGTTTGATTTGCATATTCTGTTTCTTTTCGGTTGCTGTTCATTTTGGTTGCGGTGGTCGGTCGGGATGCTGTACGCCACCACCCATCCTGCGGGTCCCTCAAGGACCTTGGCTACCACGCTTTTCGTAGATACACAGTCAGGGGTACTTTTTTTTTGGGGGGTGGACAGAGACAGAGAGATAGTGAATCAAAGAGAGAAAGAGAGAGAGCGAGAGAGAGAGATGCAGAGGGGACTCTGGAGAAAGGTTTAATTACAAAAGCGAATATAGCTGGGGGATATACATATATATAATATTCATAGAGTAAGACGAGTATGCAGGTGTACTGGAAGTATAGTTTTTGGTTCAGGTACAGAAGTTTATAGATGTCGAGCATTGGAGAGATTCGGAGAGAGCGGGAGCGAAAGAGAGAGAGCAAGTGACAGAGAGCGAGAGAGATAGCTAGAGCTAAGCTAAGGTTAAGTAATTCTAATTAGAGATAGAGCTATGGCAGAAGATCTAGTCTGTGGGGCGGCACTTAACCGAGTGCTATGGGTGTGCTATGAGGAGTTCTACTTGAGAATATATATTTAGTTTACATAGAGTTGATGACTAGCGCAGTTGTGATTCGGTTATAATTTTTTCGGTATTTTTTTCGTTTGCAGCGCTGCAGCAGCGACGCTTTGGCAGATTCTCCAAGTCTCATTTTTTATTACTGGGCATTCGCAAGTCGAGATTTGTCGGTGGTTGTGTGGCGGTTGTTGTTGTTGTTGTTGCTGGTCTACTGCATATAGTAGCTATGCTCTATTGTTGTTGTTGTTGTTTTTCATTGGGGGTAGTGTGGCTAAGCTATATACACAAAACGTTGGATGCCAGGAGCTGAAGGGCCGGTGGTAGTTGGTGGTTCTTGGTGGTTGGCAATGAGAGCTTGGAGAACTTGTTAAGGCGGCGCTGCCAGCGCAAAGCGTAAATTTAAGAAAAAAATCAAATCATTGCTGTAAAATCGTAAGCTAGCTAAGAGAAGAGAAATAGAGAGATAGTTGGCTTTTGTTTTTTTACGGGGACTAAGAAACGGTTAGCAGAGTTAACAAAGTTTGTAAAGGCCTCTTCTCGGTTTTTCTTTTATTACATAACCACCGCCCAGCCCGAAAGGGGGTGTGGCAAACTCCCAGTCCTACCCTTCGCAGCCCAAAGTACGTACCCAAAGAAATTGCCAGGATCAGCAGGATGCTGCACAGCAGCCAGGATTTGCTGGAAGACTCCATGATTTTTCCACTTTTCACTTACTCCAGGGACATGGCCAAATTGGAGTTGTAGGGTTGGCTGGGCCCACGCCCCAAAACTGCAGACACAAAAAATTCAGCCTTAGACCCGTTCAAACATCTTGAAAACAGCACACTTCACCTTATCTCAAGCTTCTCTTGATTTGGGTAATTTCTTTTCAATTATTTTGCATAATTTTCACAACTTTTAAGGATTTTTCTTTCCGACTTTGTCGTCTAGAACTGGAGCCGTCAGTTTGGGTGCGGATTAAGAACTCTACTTCGGGATTCTGGATAAAAATCAATGGGATTCTGACTTTCTAGAGCGCAGCAGCCAAATCAGATAAGAAATGCAACGGCGCAGGCGCGAAAAATGCGGATAACTGAGAGGAAAAAGTGGAAAAGCACTCTCTTATCAGGACGTGTTTTTCCCAAACCCACCCTTCCACTTATCTTTAGTTTGTAAACAAATGCAGTTGGCCTTATCAGCTGTTCAAAATTTTTGTTTACATGTGCTTGGCCTCCAGGGTTGCTGCCCGCCCACAAAAAGTTTCCACCACAGTGACTGCGAAAAGTTAATGGAAGAATGCTTCCGCTATCTGATAATCTCGCTTTGTGTGTTATAAAAATGTTTAATTATGACACAAATCTTGCGCCTATAAATTAAATGAACAACAAAAAAATAACGAACAAAGGCAACGCCTCAAAAGGTCATGTGGGCGTGCCATTTAATTTGTTATTTCATAGTTTTTCTTACTACTTTTTGACTGCGCCTAATCGCCGGTGTGTATCATTAGCAAATCGCAGTTCCTTATGGCGCCTAAATGATTTAAATAAATGTGCACTAGGTTGCTTGAACACTATTGAAAAATTGTAAAATGTAGCCAACAATTGAGCTGAATTTGTTCCGGTTATCTGATAATGCAAGCCCATTCTTCAATAGCTCTTTTATAGTAAAGCAACCATTTTGACCTTTTCGGCTTTCAACTCTCATTCAGCTGTCAGCACTTGTCTCAACCTTCAATTACATTTTGAATTATATTGCCAAATGGTTGGGAGGCTTAAAAAACTTCCGTGAATTGATTGATAGCTGCACAATTTATTTAATCTATTAAGGGTGGGGAAAAAAACAAGCACAATGAAAACCCAAAAGCGTTTAAAGATTCTCTGCACAGGAAAAACTGAAAAGAAACAACGATGAGTTGCCCAAAGGAAAACATTATACATGCCATGTGTATTAACACTTGCGAGCTAGACGTTTGGTAATGAAAGCATATTTTTACATTACTGATTTTGATGCTGTTGCTGAAGTCGCCTTTGATGCACTATAAAAAATTGTATTTTATTTGATATATAAAGTGTTATATGGGCAAATAAACTATAGGTGTCAAATATTTTTATCAGAAAGGATAATAATACAAAAATAATCAAAGAAAATGCAAGCCCCTTAAACCGATTTAATAATTAATAATAAATATTAATATAAAATGTCTTGATATATTTTGACCCGATAAATTATTGTTAAAAACGATCTCTTTTTTCCGTGTGGTTTTTCTTGTTCGGCGTTTGACTGCCTGGCTTGCTGATGATGATTTTCATGTGCGCATGACAGCGCAATACAATGCAACGAAAGACGAAAGACGAAAAACTCAGGCCACGAACGTGCAAGTTATGAGACATGCGGCTGTGCTGGGCAAAAACTCTAAGAAACTAAGGTCGCCGTGGAGCGCATAAAAAGCACAACTTTGAAGCCTTTGTGCGGCTTGGTTGGCGCAATTTGGGTGCCATTTTGGTGTCACCAGCAGCCAGAGGCAAGTTTTTCCTCGCCGCTAGAGAGCGATAAAATCAATGGCAACGCCAACGCAAATTACATCAAATTAATTTCTGTATCTTCATAAATTTTTAGTTAATTATTTCGCTGCATTCAATTGAAACACTTTGCTCAAGGTCGCCTTTAAAAAACTAGCAAGCCGCTGATCTACGTGGTCGAGATGGCCTAGAAAAGGTAGAGAAATCACCTAAAAATCCACTGGGCGGGGTCGTTTATGCAAAGAAAGAGCCAAGGCATGCCGCGGCATTTTAATTTTTAGAGAGCCACTTCCAGCTTATGATTCAATTAGTGTGTTTTGCTCACTCGCATCTTAAACTGTCATTAATAATAAATAAGCAAAAAAAAATCCAGGCACAATCATTGTATGCAAAACTGTGTGTGAACAAAAAACGCTGTCATTCTGCACAAAAGTGTAATGTGATATCATAAACATTTGGATTGTTATTGTGGATTCTTTTGTTTGTTTTCGCACAGCCAAATAAATTAATTAGCCGTTGGCTCTGGCCAATTCCGTGTTAATTTTTACACCCAAGAACAGGCGAAGATCGTTTGCCCAAACAATAATAGAGACGAAATGAGCAGGCCATCGAAAATTGCACAATTAGCAGTGTATTTCTGCGGCTGCTGCTAATGCATCAGCAGTTGCAGTGGCTGTTGGGCAATATTAAAAGTCCTCAACCATATTAACACTTTTTGGGCAATGTTTTGCGGCGCACCGCAGTCGCAAATTTGTGTCAAACCCAACGTCTTCGAAACAGCAACAAGCTAAAATCATGCGGCTTAGTGCACGACCGAAAAAAAGGCAGTCAAAACACATAAGTCTCGATGGCTCGGTGACGAGCTCTCAAAAACACCGAAAATGGTCGTGTCAATGGCTGAGGACAAAGCCGGTCCCATGAGGAAGTGCTACAGGTGGCACGAGTCACCTTCGACTTCCTTATGCCTGCCACATGGAGCGACATAAGTGGCAATACAAAAACCAGCCTCCAAAAGCCAGACTTACGACTTACATTACAATTTAAACAAATTGAAGAGATTTTTAAGAAGGGGCCTAAAAGCAAGCCACATATTTGTATAGACACAATTGTTTTTGGTTTTTCTGCAGCCTAAAAGTAGGCAAAAAAACTTGTTAAGGCAAAAATACATGGACAATTGCTAAAACTAAGTTTAGTAGGTACTAACGTAGATAACATGATAATCAAGTGATAGTCAAGTATTTAATAAATATTATCAAAAATGCATGATCTTTGTTGTCATTTTGTTTCCTTTTCTTCATATAATTTTTAACTTGAATATTCCGCTGAATATAAATACAAAAAGACTCCAATTTTTTAAAACATTTTTTATTTTATTTGTTATGAAGTGAAGAATTTCAAAATGTTTATAATTTTTAGAAATCGCGGGTGCTCTTCACTTGTATACCCACGATCGTAGTTGGCAAAATCATAACTTACAACTAGCACACAGAACCTAAAAAAAGACTACAGCAAACTTAGCTCTAACTAAAACAGAATGTTGTGGGCCATAAGCTATATACACAATGTGCGCAGAACAAGGCCAAAAGTAGGCCAATTTGCGCATTATCAATCGATTTGTCCTTTGTGTGCTATATAAGAATCGTACAGTGAGGACTCCTTGCGACGCTTTAATCTCGAGCACGCGATGAAAAGTGTAACTGTTAACACGCACAAAACTGCCGAACAGCCAGCGGTCAGCGCCGAAAAAGTCGAGGTCTTCAGGCAGGTTTGGTGTGGTGACAAGGGCTTCGACTGCCGATGGGCATATACATCATCCCCATCAGTTTCACCCTCCTGCAAAACTCGCAGTGACTGGAAGAGATTAACGTTTTCCGATAGCGAGTTTGCTGGTGGATTCTCCGTGGTTAAACCCTCGCCATCGGCGGATAATGGCGGCAGGGAAAGATTTGTGGCCGTCATGTTCGAGGTGTCACGCTTGGTCACCGCCTTTAGATTTCTCCAGTGACAAGGCTGGCTCTATAGAAAAAAATAATGTTCTATTATTTATAAATCTGAAACAATTAACAACAATTTTTGTGATACCTCAATATATACTTTAGTGAAAGTAAAACATGGAAATGGTTTTTTATGCCAACGTCTTTGTCTTTTGTAAAATAAATATTATTCTTTTGGCCATAAAAAATGAAATATTGAACCAAATATATATTGACATATCTCGTTAAACTCGCTACAAAAGGTACAACAAATCTGTATTTAAAACTAAAAATTTTAATTTTTTGAAGAATTTTGCATTTTTGATAAGGGGTAACATCAACATTTTTTTGAAGTTTGAACAAAAATAAAATTTTTTAGTTGAGAATACCAATGGATTGGAAATTTTGTAACGAATTCAACGAGATATGACATTCCAAAATCTGATTATTATTTCCAAGGGTTTTTATCAAGAAACCGACAAATAGAGATGATTGTTCCGGATTTTGGCCATTAAATACATTTAAAAACACATTTTTAAGGGTTTTTGATTGTAACTTTGCCAAAATGAGACGCACAGCCAAAAGATTAACTGTTTTGTGCAACTGGGAACATATACAATCAATTCTATAAGGATTTGGAAGAAATTATTTTTTGACCGTTTTTTGCATTTTTCATAAGGGGTAACATCATCATTTTTAGCGAAATTTGGCCCAAAATAAAAATTTTTAGCTGACAATACCAATGGATTGGAAATTTTGTAACGAATTTAACGAGGTATGACATTCCAAGATCTGACCATTATTTCAAAGGGTTTTGATCAAAAAACTGAAAAATAAAGATGATTTTTACGGATTTTTGCCATTAATACATTTAAAAACACATTTTGTAAGGGTTTTTTGTTGTAACTTTGCCAAAATTAGACGCACAGCCAAAAGAATGTCTGTTTTCTGCAGCAGATAACCTATATAATCAATTCCATGTGGATTTGGAAGGATTTTTTTTTTTGACCGATTTTTGCATTTTTTATAAGGGGTAACATCGTCTTTTTTTCGAAATTTGGCCAAAAATAAAATTTTTTAGCTGAGAATACCAATGGATTGGAAATTTTGTAACGAATTCAACGAGGTATTTCATTCCATCATTTGACCAATATTTTCCATGCTTTTGATCAAAAAACAGAGAAGGAACATCATTTTTTAGGGCTTTTGGCCATAAAATAAATTTTTGGAAGGATTTCTTATTTGTTTTAAAAAAGGCATTACTTACCGGACACCGCCCATGGCACATCCGCACATCGCACTCAATATAGAGCGCCGGGGAGCCAGTGAACCGGAAGGTCTTCATGTACGCATACACCTGGGTCTCGTACACCCCGGAATCCGACCAGGAACCCCTGAAGCGTGAGATGAGCTTGTCATCCACCGGACAACCGTGCTGATCGATGAGCTGTATCCGCTTGTTGGCGCCATTGTGTGCATAGCAATCGTTGACCACAATGTCGAAGCCGTCTGGGGATCGCAAGACCGCCATTAATAGATCAGCTTAGATGCTGAGATTAAATCCATTTACCATATTTGCTTCTCATGTAGATGATCAAGGTCAGGGGATCGCCCACACGCACTGGGCCCGTCACACGTGGACCACCAATGCCATAGCCATTCTGGATCTCCATATAGCACTCGGGTGGACTTAAAGTGAAGACTACCGGATTGCCAGTGGCCACTCTGGGGAAGATACAATGTTAATAACTGAATATAAGACTTATACTGCAAACATACTCCACATCTAGAAAAGGAAAGGTCACGGTCTTCCAGAAATCATAGCCATACTCGCAGGTGACCTTGAAGTGCTCATCATACTCCTCCTCAATCAGGGGATTATATTGCACTGTTACCGTGTTCCACATAAAATTCTAATGCAAAAAAATACATTTTAATCTTATGAACAACAAATATATTAATCATACGCACTGTGGGATTTTTGCGACTTTCCTCTTGCAAAGAATTCTTTCCCAAAGTTCCACAGCGATTTAATTGGATGTAGAACTCATAGTAATCCCTACCAGATCCATTTATGTACATACAGTCCGGATCATAGGCATAACCAGCTGAATATAGCAAACCACTAAAGGAGCCATTAAAACCAATGCGTATCTTCATATAGTCATCCTGACATTCTGCCTCGATGTCTATGAAGGAAAAAGTAAGAACGAGTTAGTAACTTTAAAACGAAAGTTTAAAATATTTTCAACCATTAATACAAAAAGTATTTTTAGGATTAAATAGAGTCAGCAATTAATGTAGTTTAATAATTTATAAATTATTCATTAAAAATACAAATTCTTACGCTGTACTCTAGTTCCGTTGTGCTGGTGCTGATTTCCAGCGTATTCTTGATCCCAGTACTCCTCCTGCCACTTGCTGTTTTCATAGGGCGCAGCATGATATCCACCGCTTCCTGTAGGAGCTCCACTTGAATCCACTCCCGTAGAACCATAATCCAGATGCACAGGGGGTCCGATTCGGTGGGGTATGTAGCCAGAAGAATCGGGTACGTGATCGGGCTTTTAAAAGGAATAACGTATAAGAAAATATTGTTTAAGAAATCCTGAAAAACTAACCACTTCATGCTGCAACTTGTTACGTTCCACTGCATTGCTACTGCGATTGCGGACATCCTTAGGGAACTTTTTGGGACCTGCTATTCCAGCTCTCTTGGACAATTTCGAGGGCTGTGTAGTGGGTCCGGAGATATACGACTTGGAGGAGATTCCAATCAGCTCCTGCTGCGCGTCACCTCCTGCGGCCAAAGGACGACTACCAGAAGTAGATCTCGAAGAAGGAGTCGTAGTCTGAATGCGACCTTTGAAAATGCGTAATGGTGGCACCAGAGTGGGTGGTGCAGAAGTGGTGGTGGCCACACCCGCAGTTTTGCTAACCACCGAATAGTCTGTGCTCTGTTCCAATCCGCTGATGGGCTGCTGCTGAAAAAAAAAAAATAAGCATTTACAAAAGTGCGTGCGGCGCGTGGGGCGTATACGCAATGTCATAAATCACTCGGTCGAGTTTGTGTCTTAAGTCTTTGGTTTTATGAGCCCGCCAAAAAAAAAAAGAAACTGTAAAAGTGCTGCATCAGCAACAAAGCCACATAATTTTGGCCAGACAAAGCTTCTTCCGTTCGCGGTCGATACGCAATCTGCATTAGAGCAGAGCATATCCGTTAGACGGGCTCGCCGATTGGCCAACGATCGGTTGCGGTTCATGTGGCCTAATCAGGAAGTTCATGCTAAGAACTGTTAAATAGATTAGATTTCCCATCAGCAGCGACTTGAGCAATGCACTTCTCGTTGGGCAATCAGTCGGAGGTGAAAGGTTCCTTACCTGCAGCTCAATCAGCAGCATCATTAGAAGAATCTGGCCCAGCCGCTTGGGTAATGTGCTCATCTTCATGTCCGTCACTCGACTGGCAGCTGCAAAGATCGAGATGGAGTCCCATAGGGGACCATTCAATATTATCGGAATGCGAATCGGTATCAGTATCATAATTATCGTCATGCTTGGTGCTGTCCGATGCTGACCTTGCTTGTGGTCACTCAAGTGTTGTCCGCCACTGGTTACACCAAATGCGTGCTGGCAGGAAGGAAGTTTGTGCTTCATAAATTAATTGTGGCCAATGTGCATAAGTGGAAGATCTTGGGGCTCTCGGAACGAGAAGATGGGATGCCTTAACTTGATTTATGGCAGAGCATAAAAATAAAGTCATTATTCTATGGTTTCTAAATATTCAATTTGGCCACTAAACTTGAGTTATAATTCTGGTAAATTTTAAAACATTGTTTAGATAATTGATTATAGATTTTCATCGTATCTATTTATTTTTAATTACTTGTAATACAAGATTAGAAAACCATTTTTTAAAAAATAGTTCAATATATACTAAACTTATAACTATATTTAAGACTGTGAATTAAACTTGTGGAGATTTTATTGGGCTCACTAATTTATGTCTGAATATTTTTTGAAACACTTTCTAATATTTAAGCTAAATTTGTAACATGTTCTTGGGATAATTAAATTAATTATTCAACCAGTTTAGTTTAAAGTTATATCTCAGGCTATCATCAAGCATATTGTAGCTTCCGTTCTTCGGCATATTAGTTTCCTCCCTATCAATGTCGTTGAAGTTATGGCCAGAACAATGACAACTTCAGATACATCATCTTCTAACTCCGTTTGTCTGGCGTTAAGGTCAAAGCCATAAAACTGTCACCCGTTGCGATGGTTTAATTATGGCCTACGCAGAACCTACTGTCTAAGATTTTAGTCTGCGCTTAAACTTGGATCACATTTTAATGAACGATGTGATCCGCCCCCGCATTTACCCTTCGCCCACCAAAATGCTTGGCTGCCTTTTCGCTTAGCTGTAAAAACGCACGCCGTTTGCTTAATTGTTGTTATAATTACTTCAACTTCTTGTTGGTGTTTGTTTCATGTTTGTTTATTGTTATTTTTTTCGCTTGCTTTTGTAGTTGGGCACTGTTATGCAATAGTTGATGTTGTTGCCGCTTCTTCTTCTTGGGTTTTTGGTTTCGGTTTTTGGCTTTCATTATTTGCCCGTCTTGTTGGTGTTGTTCTTCTGCTATTGCTCCTACACTTGGCTTTTATAATTATAGTTAATCGCATTTGACTGACCTTGAGCCGTTTTCCTTTGCCTGCATTAATTACAAACGCCTAACGGTTCCAAATACGTTATTGGTAGGTGGTTAAACCTGTTTAGGCCATTGACAGTTCTTTTTAACAGAAAAATTGTGACAGTAAATGGTCTCAATAAAACCCTTGTAAGATCAGCCCTTAAAATCGATGATGATTTATTATTAAAGTATCTCTGAACCCAAAAATAACTACTTCATTTTTTAACTTCTTATTTTGTTTATAGTATATCTCAGAAAACTAAAATAAGCTTACATTTGAAGAAGGACAAAAAGATAAACCTAAGAAATAGTGTCTTAAAACTTTTAAATGTCATTGATTAATAGTGACAAATTTATTCCTCTAATTACATTCTTAAGCTTGCCTGTTATTTGATTTAGATTATTGAATTGATACTTTTCTTAAATCCAGTTTTTGTGTGCAAACAATTTGTAGTATTAAACTCTCTTTTATAAAACAAATAAAATACTCACCTATTAAAGAAAAAATCCTTTGATTTTAATCCGCTTAGCCTCTTATGTCCAGAGCAGTTTTAGCACTGACCTGCTCAATGTAATTTTCGTTTTCCGACGCGCTTTTCTTCACACCCACAACCGCGAATCACGGTTCACAGTTCACAGCTCGGCACGCACTTTGACCAACTGACACCGAACAACTTTGCCCATTTCGGGGGGCTTAGCAAATCCTCGCGACGTTGGCCATAAAAGTTGACGATCCGGATCCGATGTTGGTCTCAAAACGCTACAAAACGGTTCGCACTGCTATTTTTTGTAGGGGTTTTGTCTTGGTCTCACTTTCGATAATGGTTTTTGATATTGCGCGATCTTTGGTTGGCAGCTTTTGTCGGGTTTTCTCGGCTACGTCATTTGGGCCGCTTTACATATTGCACGTCTGTTCAAAGGTTTGTTGGTTTTCCGTTTTTTTGGAAGCCCGAAAAATCACTCAAGTGCAACTTGCCAAATAGAATCAGCCGCCAAGTGGGGGAGTTGGGCGAGTATGTAAGTGGATGTGTGTTCGCAGATTGCCTAATCTTACATAATAGTCCGAACGGAGTTCCGAGTACCGTTGCCGGTTGGATATTTGAGTCTTATAACTTTTGCGGACGGTGGTTTGCAGCTCTTTGCGATGCGAGCAGGTGTGAAGCGAAGCGCGGCTAGTGCGGATCTTTATAAAGTTTTCCTCCATCCATCCACACATCCAGCCATCCAATATGCTACACAGAAGAAAACGCAGTCAAAGGCTTTTGATATTAATATGTAGGAAAGAAATACGTAAAAAAATAAACGTTCAAAATGTAGTAGCAAAATATTAAGCTTGTATAGATACTTTTATTAGAACACTTTTGGAACACAAAGTTAATAGTACAAATGCCTCCCATTACAGTCTAATTTTTAAAAATTATTCCTTGTATTGAAAAGGGATATATATAAAATTATAAAAAAATAAAGTTTAAATATATATTATATTTTCATTGTTTTCCATTAATTTTATTAATTTTCCAACATAATTTTTGACACCATACCAATAATGCTTACTTTATGATATATTCTGCATAAAAGCAAACTTTTTTATCCTTTTTAATATATTTTTACATTTAGCATTATAAATTTAAAGAACTTTTCGTCTGTGTAGAAGAGCAGAGCCAGCCAACCGCATTCTGGTGGCTCTCAGGGCTCTCCATCTGCTGCAGGTTGTGAAAGAATCTCGAAGAGCCCACCTGAGATGATTCCATTTGCTGATTTACTTTCGTTGTGATTCGCCGTTAGACTCACTTTGCATCGCGGAAGTCGGAGGAAAAGGAGGAGTTGGAGGAGCTACATACATAACCCCTTACCTTTTGGCCAAGGTCAACGGCACCTAACTGTCGAGCGTGGGTCTGCAGGTTAGGCTCGTTTAATTGCCACCGTTTGCCAAGCGTGTCTGCGTTAAAATACTAATCACTAATTAGTTACTTGGCACTTTAAGCGTTGTGAAAGGCTCGTCCGCCTCCCGACCATTTGACCCTGGGATGACTACGTCTCTATGGGCAATGTCTTGAAATCCATATCCAAGCAAGGGCAACCCTTGTCCATCAAGCGTGACAGCACGCTCCTTTGATCACCACAATTGACCCACATTGCAAGAGATATTTTTGGACGTTTGGCTACTAAATATTTAATTTATTTAAATTTATCAAACCGAAACAGTGGCATTATTAAAAGATGAAATGTCCTTTAGGGGTTAAACCTATTTTCAATATTTACTTCTGTTTAGTAAGTCCTTGAACAGTTTCAGCACCACAATCAATGTATAAAAAGATCTGATTGTTTAATATCTTTTAAGATAAAATGGTAATAATTTCAATGGTAGTCCCTTCTTTATAGAAAACCCAGCTAGCATCATCAGTAAGAATCTACTTTATTGACTTTTCTTACTCATATTTTTAAAAATTTATTTCTACAGATTTTTACATGTTGTCCAAGAGAAATAAAATCAATCAAAAATTCTTTAAGCTTTTATTAAAACTTGAAAGCAAAACCCAAACTCAACAGTAAACACCGTCCAGGAAGCCAATATTCCCATAAAAATCAAGTAAATTTATAAGTTTTAGCATAATCATTTTTTATTGTGATTTTTTCCTTCTGTTATATATATGTTTTTATCTTTTTTTCCCCCATTTTTTCACACTTTTGTTTCATACATACGCACGCGCATTTCCAACATAAACAGGCATACAATAGAACATTTTATCTGGTGCCAAGGGTTTAATACATTACATGCTATATGTCGATAAGCATACACTTTTCACACTAAAATTCATACAACTCAAACAAATCAAATTCAAGAGATTGATCACTTAAATAAACATAAGCTTTCTGCAAAACATACCATAAAGTAATCCAGTGTGTGTTTTTGATTGTTAAATAAATAATATAGTTTTCTTAGCTCTGGTTGCTTTCTGTTGCTTATTTTATTCATGTTTTTTTTTGTCATTTTTCTTATGGTTTTTTTTGCATATTCATTTTGAAATTTTTATTTCATTTTTTTGGTATTTTTCATATAAGTTGTGAAATTGAAACGACAAACGTTAAAACCTACGCATTTACACAGATAGTTACATTTTTTTGTGGCTTTTGTTTTTCGTTTTTTCACAATTAATTGTTAAGTTTAATTAATTAAACATATGTGTTTTTCATAACTGCTAGATTTTGATATTTTTGTGGCATTTTTGTTGCGGTTTTTCTCGTTTCATTATGGGGGTTAAGTTAAAATACTAATTAAAATCGCGTCGCCTGCCATGATTGTAATGCTCCTCCGGCTTATTGGGCGTGGGAGGCGTGTGGGTGGTGGTGGTGGGTGGTGCGCCTGGTGCGTGCCTAGTAGCAGCACTTGCTGCGGTTGTTGTTGGCGCCGCTGACCAGCTTGCAGTGCTGCATCTCCGAGCGGCGCGGGCGGTTGGCCTTGGCCTGGAAGTCGCGCACCTTGTTGGCCCGCTTGATGGCACTGCGGCAGAGCTGCTGGTGCTCCTTCTTGTTGTTGCTCTGTGGATGGCATAAAGTGGATATCTGGATTAGGCATAAGTCAATTTTACCAAAATTTTAAATTGTTTTTTAAATAAATATTCTAAAAAAAATTATTGATCATTAAAAAACAAAATAAATTTTAATTTGGGGAGTAAATTTGTTCTTTTAAAAATAATTTCTTTAAAGTCAACAACTGGAAACTGTACTTTTAAAAACGTATGTCAGCTACCTAATCAATTTGAGGTATATATGTATATAAAACTCTGCCCAAAAATGAATGTTTTTATTTACATATCCTTTGTCAGGAATGTTTTGTTTAAGCTACATTCAATAGTGCCATTACGAAAATATGAATTTCAAACAAATTGGAAAGCTATCGTGTAACTAAAATACTTTTTAATAATTGATAAACCTACTCAATCAAATATCACTCTTCGATCCTTACCTTCTGGCTCTGACGAGCCAGCGTCTGCTGCTTCAACTGGGCGGCCGCATGGCGATCGAAGCGAGCGTTATGCGAGCGCCGCTCCTGGAGGACCTGGCGCTGGTCCTGCGGCTCAGCCTCCGGCTCGGGATCCTCCCGCTGCTGCGGCGGCACCTCCGCCGACACCCCGAGATCAAGATTAACAAAACTTTCGGTGCCCTCCTGGGTGGATTTAATACTAAAGTAAACGGACATGCTGCAAGTGAAAAAGAAACCATATATTAAGATATATATTTAACTATTATTGGGCGTGCGTTTTTGGCTGTTAATTGTGGTTGTTGGATCGGGGAGGGTGGGGGACTCGTATTGTGTACTATAAAGATCACCAACCTTGGATGCTCAATCAATAGATTCTCAAATGGTGATGTTTCCATATTGATTGGCCCAATCGAGGTGAAGCATGGTGGCGGTGTTACGTACCAGGACTCCTCCATCAGCACGTTAGCACCCTGGTCCCGATCACGATCCAGACCCAGATTCAGACCCTGGTCGCTGCCGCTGGGCGAGGCCACGTACAGCGACTGGCCGAGGTTGTCAGGATCTGCCGGTCCCTGGGCGGGCACACTTCTGGGCGGGCTGAGGGTGCTGATGCTCAGCGGCCGGGCGACGCGCGAGCGTTGCAGATAGTTGCGCTGCTGCTGCGGCCGCGGCCCACTGTACAGGGAATGCGAGTTGAGGTGCTGCCGACGGCGCGCGGCGGCCGCTGGGCCATGGCCGCCGGCCGAGGAGCCCGCGGAGGAGGAGGGGGCGGTGGCGCCACGCGACTGCGACACCTCCACCACGGAGAGCTCCTCCTCGGAGTCGCTGCGCGGCAGGGAGTCGTCCTCCTCGTCTGGAAAGTAAACAGTGGATGGGGTTAAAAACGGGAAATTAAAGCGAATAATTACTTCTAGCTTTTTAAATAATAAAATACTTTTAATCAATTATGTATATTTTGATATCTTTGTAAAATGTTATGCATATATAAAGTATTTGTCGGGTTCAGATCTAAATTATGTTTTTAAAAACGAGGAATAATAAAACAAATACATATTAAGCTCATTTAAAGTTGTTATGCATTAAAATAAACGTAGCATAGCTGTTTTAATTGCATTGAACGGACCACCTAAACTATAAATTCCAAGTATTCGGATATTTCAACATCAAATATTATTAATTTCCTACTTTAATTTTAAATAATTACATTTTGAAAATGCAGTAATCAAATGCACTTGTAAACTTTTGAGCGTACCTTTTCGGTCTCGTAAAAATTAGTTTTTTATTTCAAGAAACTTTATTTGACTTTAATCAATATTCCCCTAATAGGATTTTTTTTCTAAACTTGAATTGAAATATTTTTTAAATTTAATTTATAAAACCCTTCCCATTTTTTAATGATTTTTTTGCTGGAAATCGAAACTTACCCTCCTTCTCCACAATGTACCATTCGTCCTCGTCGAAGTCCTCGTCGATGGAGTCGCCCGAGGGCGTCAGTAGCTTGGTGATGGCCGGCTGCTTCCGCTGCTGCTGCTGGCTGATCCGCTGCTGCTTGCCACGCCTGTTCTTGCCGCGCTTGCCGTTGGAGGCGCGTACCGCGCCCCGATTGTTGCCCGCTACCGAGGGCGTCGAGGAGGTGACCTCAATTACATCGCCCGCCGAGGGATCGGTCGAGGGGTCGGGATTCGAGTGGTTGTTGGGGCTCTGGGCGGGGCTGGCGTCTTGGCTAATGGAATCGGATGTTGCTGGCGATCCAAAGAGATACGAGGCGAGGCTGCTTAACATTATACGGGGTTAATGCGGCTGATCCGGCGGTAGAGGGCGCTGGCTTTTCTTATTGCTTCTTATTGTGGGTGCTGAGATCAAAGTTGCGCTTTTTCCACTCGGATTTTGCCGGGCCTAGTTTCACAGTTATAGAGAGACAAATGTGGGAGATTGCTTATGTTGCTGTTGGTTTTGTTCCTTGGATTTGCTTGAACGTTGCTCAGTCTTTTATTTATTTGTTTTTGTATTTGTTTCTGTTTCTTGTTTGTACGCTGTTTTCTTGTCTTGTTCTTTATTCTTCGTAGCGTAGAAGCTGCAAACGGAAAAAAAAGAGAAAAAGTAGGGGAAATGTGAGAAATGAGCTTAGCAAATTGTGTGCACATTGCGTAATCAGCAGCCCCTTTGGAAACCACCCCCCTTTCAGTAAGCTGCTTGTTTGCGTGGGCGCACGCGGTTCAATGGGGCGGCTACTTAATTTCATTTAATTGCAGCTCGCATACTCTGCTAAGTGATGAGCAGGAGGATTTTTTAAAGTGCATAGATCGAGTGCTTGAGTAACGAAGCTTATTTAAAAAATTCCAAGACTAAAATAGTGGGAAAATATAGAATATGTAACTTATTTTTTATCTAAACCTGCTTATTAATTCTTAATTTAATCCTTAAATAGGATATTGCTAATAACAATAATGCTTTGATTTGATAAACTCCTTTTGAAATATTGTTGATAAACAAAAGAGTATCAAATTAGTGCATTGAATATCTATCCTTGCCTTTCCTAGCAATTAATTTAATTACATTTGGTTGAAATTCACTTATTTTACTTAATTTTAATGGATGTGCAAATTCGAATGTGAACTCGAAAACACAAAAGAGGAGTTTACTACTCAAAGATGGCAATTATTTTTTATTGCATCACATTGATGCCTTTAAAAATATATAGCTCAAGCGAAATCAATGCAAATTGGATTTCGAATTCGATTGGAAAAGTGAAATTTTCTCAACGCAAATTAACGAAAGGCGCCAATTACGTGTGATTACATTAATCAGATTTTTTTCTGTAGCACTGTGCTGACAACTGTATAATAGACGGGCCACAGCCATAAAGTATCGCTGCACTGGCCATTAAGTTTCCCAGTTCCCCTCAGTCCCCTCGATAGCCACAATCCCATCCGATTCCATGTGCATGCGCCGAGCTTATGATCGAGGCAATTATATATGGCACACACAATCGTTGAGCGGTTTGCCTGAATACTGTGTGTGTACTGTATATATGCAATTTGAATCGGGCTCACGTCATGACAATAGAAAAGTGTCTACTCAAACTATACCCGTATATATCTATCTAAAAGATGAATTGAACTAAATCGGTGGTGCACTCAGAAAAATACAACTCTTGTGACTGTCGATTTAAAATGGTTTTGGGGAATCAAAAATAAAAACTATTTTGGCTTCTATTCCGTTATATATTTATCCTATATATAAGCGCTAACACTTCTGATTTGTATCGTCATAAAGATGATTATTGTATTGTCATAAAGATGCCAGCAGCTCGACTGGCATATTTTTGTCGATCAAACTGCGCACGGAAAACGGAAAACTTAAAGGCGAAGAGCAATGGAAACGGAGCTGAATCTGGACTTGCAGAGACAATTGCCGGAGCAATTTGCAATTTGACCGCAAAACAAAAACGTGAAAAGCCACAAACTAACAAAGTGAAATCTCCTGCAGCAGAGACACAAAAAGCGTACCAAAATTGGGTTTGATGAGGCAGTCCGAGTCGAAATGTCAGCGAAAGTTTGACAATCAAATTTGATGGGGGGGCCATTGACTTGGGCAGCTGAAATAAATTCTGATAATTGCCTGGAGATGGTAATGAGCAGTAAACAGAGATGCAGGAAAGGACTGCCTCTGTAATTGGCAGCAGGAAAATAAAATAGGCATTTCCAATGAGACAGCATGACCTCAAAATGCCTTGCCATATTTTTGCACATTGAAGAGTGTGCATATATCTAACCGAAAATAGAGGCAAAAAAATATTTTGCAGTCGAAATAAATTTGCATTGCACAACAGCGATTGCTGCGTTTACGGGTCCGTGCAGGCATTTTATAAATAAACACGTAGGGGGACCCGATCGACGAATCTTACTTTTATGGCCGACAGCTTACAGCACCCTAGATAACCCGCCGGAATGGTTGGTCATGGACCCCGAGATATAAAGTCTATTTTGTTTGAGCTGCAGTAAACTCGATTTCACTTTTTTTCACATCTGCAGCCAAATAAATGTGACCTTGGAATGTGCAAATACATTTTATATTCTATTCTTCATTATATATTCTAGGCAGGTTGCATTGGTAGATACCATATCATAGCGCTTATTTTAGCTCAGAATTTTGTTTATTTTCCTTTGACTCTGACCTTGATCGCTAATGGGTTATATAAGTCTAGACTAGATATTGAGGAAATCGCTATCCACACAATGTTTTTTGGCATTGTTTGCCATCGAGTCAACAAACTTCTCCACCGATGGCATAAGTTTGACTGTTTATCAGCGCGGAATAACAATATAGAATTCGCCAACTCATTTGGGGACCGATAAGCCGCACCCCAGACGAGTTCGCTAGACAGCCTTAACTATGCTAATAATTTCTATTTGTATACTATTGTTTACTATATAGTCTAGCTACGACTATAGCGCAGAGTCTGGCGTGTGCAGCAAACGAGCCGACAGTCGAAAGTTCAAGCTTTGTTCAATTGATTGTACCATATAGTTTACCAGATAGTGGGGATAGTACAGGGGGGGATTTCAAATGGGGCTGGGCTAATGAACTTGAACTAATTTAGTTGAGCTGACAGCGGCAGTGATCAGAGAATGGAAAAAGTACAAAAGCAAAGACTTATGGAGCAAAAGGGGCCCCTTACAAAACTGGAATATCTGGACCATAAAGTCTAAAAATCTCTCCCGAATTTATTTATATTGCCACAAGTATTTCAAACAAAGAACGATATTCAAAGCTTTCTGCTTAAGTACAAACCAATAGCCAATCTATATAAGAAACACACACATACTGGTATCTATATGTAACCATATATTCATATCAGTCAAATTGTATCTGATTAGCTTTAAGCTTTGGGCCAGTCAAAGTGCAAAAGTTCCTTTGTTTTGAAGGAATTTCGTGTTTCTGTGTTTTTGTTTGTTACTTGTTTTGTTTCTTTTTTAGGAAAACAAAAAAACACTCGATTGCCAAGTGGGGGTATAGAATTTTCTCTTTATGGCATAATGCGGAATTATGCAAGCTGGCCAAATGACGTCAGTGGCGACCTTGGCAGTGCCTGAATTCTGTCAATTATAGGCACTAATTGGCAGCACAATTGGAAATATATGCCCGTATATTGATGGCTCACCTTATGGTTGTGGAAAACTGCACACAGAAAACACACGTAAAGTTCACTCAAATCACGTAAATTTCAGCAAATACACAGGGTAAATGGATGTGCGGATTTGGATGCGGATGCCACTGCAGACGGTACAGCCTAGTCGACACTCGTTTGCCAACTGAAGCGACGGAAGCGCATTTGAATTTCAAAAGCGGACGCAAGAACAAAAGCTACACTGCGATACTTTTGCTGTATCTGTTTTTGTGCGAATACCTGTACCTGTAGCTGAATGTATCTCGATGTGTGCGTACCTGTATCTCTGTGTGCTGCAGTTCTTACTCTATTATTTTTTGGGTGTTCACTGTTCACACTTCTCTTGTTCATTTACCTAATTCTCTTTGGAGCAATTTTCACTTTTCTTCTGCTGCACTCGAGTTGCGGTGCTGCTGCTGTTGCGTCTGCTTTAAAATATCAAAGGCGAATGCCAACAGCGATCGCTGCATGGCCTGAAAAAGTATCTCAGTTTTTGATTCGTTCAGAGAGAGAGTGGAACGCTAAAGAGCGGAAAATAACGCTCGTGAGCGTATCTAAGCCCATAATTATGTATTTTTTTAAAACGCAAAAAGCCACGATCGCAGTCGTCGTCAACAAAAGCCAGCGCCAAAATTATGCTCCAACCAGCTGGGCAGCGTTGAAAAATGAGAGCTCGATCATACGTGTTGTTCGTGATTTTTGTTTACCAACAAAGCGATCGCAACTCTCGCGCTCTCTCTTTAAATAGTATTACTAACGTTTTCGCTCTCCGATCAGCTGCTCTGACGTATGCGCATTGACACACTTTCCCGCCCCCGACACCCCCGTCCCTTCAACGTCCGCCAAACTGTATCTGTTAGATACTTTTCTATAGCCGCCAGACCAAGTGGCTCTTCGCTGCCAACTGGTCACGGGCCGCCCGAGTGACTAAGCTGCGCGGGAAGGGGTTGGCGGAAAGTGGGTACACTTCACGAAAAATATGCAGTTTTTTATTAGGTGTTTAAAATTGATTATAAGTATATAAAAAGAATTAAAAAGCCACTTACTGTGGTGTTATCTTAATATAATATTACTTGAACCATGATAATCAAAAGATCTAAACATAAAAGCAAGTAGCTTAAATTAGGCAGCTAGCATAAATGTTAAATAATATTAATTATATATTTTTCAAGCAAATAATATTATTTAAATTTGTATTTTTTGAAACAAAAAAAGTGTTAGCCTTTTAGATCTCACAATTTATCCACTCAACATCTAAGACAGAAATTTACTTCTTTGAAAAATAAATAACAAAATTATTTATAACGACCTTAAAAGCATTGTAAAAAATCTTGTTTCCAATAAAATGATTATAAATATTTTATTACTGTTTTTTTTGTGACACTATCACTTATTTATTATGAGTGTAGCGTAATCTTTTCTCTTGCAATCTTTTCCCCTTTTTCAAGGCTGGTAAACTGAATGAATTATATGGTTCGGCTTTTGATAAGATGTGTTCGCTTCCGACTGAATGTTTGAATGATTGATTTAGTTTTTAAAAAGTCTTAAAACAATCCACTTTTTTCAGTGCATGGGTGTGGGATTCTCGCACGGGCAAAGTAGTTGGCAGCTGGCAGCTCCAAAGTTCACGCTGAAATACAGTTTCTCCGCTTAATAATTTTAGATTTTAATGCCGAGTCATGGCTGAGGCAAAGGCAGCCAAGCAATAAGTTGTCGGACAGTCGGAACGCATAAAAATGCTAATGAAATGCTGAGAACTATTTGCAAAACTGTCATTCCCAGCCAAACGAAGACTACTCGAGGCATTCAAATAAGTTTTGACTTAATTTCGTTGCCAGTTTAACAACCATCGCATTATGCAATTCGAAATCAATTCAAATAATAATCATGAACTGTCGGTTTAT